GTCCCCCAGTGTCTGGTCTGGAGGATGAAGTCACGAGCTCTGCTGGGGTCCCCCAGTGTCTGGTCTGGAGGATGAAGTCACGAGCTCTGCTGGGGTCCCCCAGTGTCTGGTCTGGAGGATGAAGTCACGAGCTCTGCTGGGGTCCCCCAGTGTCTGGTCTGGAGGATGAGGTCACGAGTTCTGCTGGGGTCCCCCAGTGTCTGGTCTGGAGGATGAAGTCACGAGCTCTGCTGGGGTCCCCCAGTGTCTGGTCTGGAGGATGAGGTCACGAGTTCTGCTGGGGTCCCCCAGAGTCTGGTCTGGAGGATGAAGTCACGAGCTCTGCTGGGGTCCCCCAGTGTCTGGTCTGGAGGATGAAGTCACGAGCTCTGCTGGGGTCCCCCAGAGTCTGGTCTGGAGGGTGAGGTCACGAGCTCTGCTGGTCAGCTACTGTATATCAACCTAGTGGTTCCAAAAGGCCTGGTCTGCCCTAGAAAGCCTATATGTACGTATGTATATATATGTAAATTACGATCGGCAGAAGAATAAAAAAATGTCTTTATTAAAATGTGTTTATTATGATCCAAGTTCGATTCCCCACTGTGAATTATTTTACATTTCGCACAAATCAAGATATCTAATTAAATAGTGATCCATTCTGACTAAATGTGTCATCACACAGGACCACGTGCTGACACAGACCAATCACAGGCCGGCAGGTTACGAGGAGGAGGCTCTAGTTGACTCTCTGAGGCAGGATGAAAATGACTACATCAACCATGATCCTTTGTTAGTTGCGGCCACTTTCACCATGATCCTTAGCAATTTTTTCTGCCATGTGGTCGAGTGCTGCAAGTAAAGACCTAGTTAAGCTGCAGCTGGCCCAGAACATGTCTTGCTCTTCATTATAATCAGAGGGCTAATATCAAATACTATGCATGCCAGTCTCTCTTGGCTAAGAGTTGAGGAGAGACTGACTGCATCACTTCTTCTTTTTATAAGAAACATTCATGTGTTGAAAATTCCAAATTGTTTTCATAGTCAACTTACACACAGCTCTGACACACACACTTACCCACCAGACATGCCACCAGGGGTCTTTTCACAGTCCCCAAATCCATAACAAGTTCAAGAAAGCGTACAGTATTATATAGAGCCATTATTGCATGGAACTCTGTTCCATCTCATATTGCTCAAATGAACAGCAAACCTGGTTTCAGAAAACAGGTAAAGCAACACCTCACGGCACAACGCCTCTCCCCTATTTGACCTAGCTAGTTTGATGTGTATGTATTGATATGTAGGTTGTGTGATGTTTTAAATTGATGTAATGTGTTTCTGTCCTTGAGCTGTTCTTGTCTATTAAGGTTCTGTATTATGTCATGTGTCATGTTTCGTGTGGACCCCAGGAAGCGTAGCTGATGCTTTCACAACAGCTAATGGGGATCCTAATAAAATAACTATGTCTATGGGAGGAAGTGGAAGCACCACATCATGTACTGGTGCTTAAACAAGTGACATCATCACTGCTACAGGTAAGACATGTTCAGGTAACACCATCCACCATAATGTTGGTGCAGACAAGCCGTTCAGAACAGAACCTGACCTCTAACCTCAACTACAGACAGATAGGAGAGCAGAAATCCATACAGTATCTCTCCTGACCTCCAGCATAACATTATATTTTATATGAGCAGTTCAATATCCTAAATATATCAATGACCTAGGATGAAATGAAACCCTGGTCACCTAATCATTTTTATTCACGTTGAACAGTAAATTAGCAGGGATGTGGATTATTGTCCACAACATATCAGTTGTTGTACGACGTTGACAACGATACAACGAGTCCTTTCAAATGTGTAGCTCGCCTAGATTCTGGATCCTCAACAAAAAGGCTTCATATGCTGAGGGTGCTGCAGTACCCCCCCCCCCCATCCCCATCCCCCCCCCCCCCTCCCCCTCCCCCCCCCCCTCCCCTCCCCCCTCCCCCCCCCCTAAATGTATACTGAAAAAAATATAAACGCAACATGCAACAATTTCAAAGATTTTGCTGAATTCACAGTTCAAATAAGGAAATCAGTCAATTTAAATACATCATATTGGTACACCATTGGTGGAGAAGCCGGATGTGAAGGTTCTGGGCTGCCGTGGTTACGCGTGGTCTGCGGTTGTGAAGCCGCTGGGATGTACTGACAAATACTCTAAAACGACATTGGATGCGGATTATGGTAGAGAAATTAACATTAAATTATCTTGCAACAGCTCTGATGGACATTCCTGCAGTCAGCATGCCAATTGCACGATCCCTCAAAACTTGAGACATTTTATATGATATATATATACATATATGATATATATACAGTGCCCTCCACTATTATTGGCACCCCTGTTTAAGATGTGGTCGAGGACTTCCAAAAATTCTCCTTTTTTTTTTAAAAACAACATAGAACCCAAATGCAAAAAAAGAGAAAAATCCAACCTTTTATTTAAGTACATTACTTTGGTGGTAAAAAAAGAAATCACACATTTTGAAAAAAAAAAACTTGAAATCATGTGTCCCACAATTATTGGCACCCCTAACAATTCCGCTGAAGATTTTAATTGATTTTTTTTTATAGATATTTTTCTGTAGTTGCTAAAGTTGGTCAGGGTATCTAGGAACTTTTAATTAGTAATTCATGACTTCCTGTTTCCCTGGGGTATAAATATGACGTGACACAGAGGCCTAATTCTCTTACCCATTTGTCAACATGGCAAAGACAAGAGAACACACCATTCAAGTAAGGCAGATTTGTGTCGACCTTCATAAATCAGGCAATGGCTACAAGAAAATAGCCACTCGCCTTAACTTGCCCGTATCTACAGTCAGAGGAATCATTAAGAAGTTTAAAACAACTGGAACAGTGACAAACAAGGCTGGAAGAGGTCCCAAGTTTATCTTACCACAACGCACAGTGAGGAGGATGGTAAGAGAAGTAAAAAAAAGTCCTAAGCTCACTGTCACAGAATTGCACCAAAGAGTGGCATCTTGGGGTCACAAAGTCTCCAAAACAACCATCAGACGCTCTCTACATGCCAACAAGCTGTTTGGGAGGCATGCAAGGAAAAAGCCTTTTCTCACTAACACTCACAAACGTAAACGTCTGGAGTTTGCTAAGCGGCACTGGGACTTCAACTGGGATCGTGTGCTTTGGTCAGATGAGACTAAGATTGAGCTTTTTGGCAACAAACACTCTAAGTGGGTCTGGCGTAAAACAAAAGATGAGTATGCCGAAAAGCACCTCATGCCCACCGTGAAGTATGGTGGAGGATCTGTGATGCTGTGGGCCTGTTTCTCTTCCAAAGGCCCTGGGAACCTTGTTAGGGTGCATGGCATTATGAACGCTTTGAACTACCAGGACATTTTAAATAAAAACCTGATGGCCTCTGCCAGAAAGCTGAAGATGGGTCGTCATTGGGTCTTTCAGCAGGATAATGATCCAAAACATGTGGCAAAATCTACACAAAAATGGTTCAGCAGTCACAAACTCAAGGTCCTCCCATGGCCATCTCAGTCCCCAGACCTCAACCCAATCGAAAACCTGTGGGGCGAGCTAAAGAGGAGAGTGCATAAGAGAGGACCCAGGACACTGGATGATCTAGAAAGATTGTGCAAAGAAGAATGGTCAAAGATCCCTCTCTCTGTGTTCTCCAATCTTGTGAAATGTTATAGGAGGAGATTAAGTGCTGTCTTGTTGGCAAAAGGGGGTTGTACAAAGTATTAACAGCAGGGGTGCCAATAATTGTGGGACACATGATTTCAAGTTTTTTTTTTTCTAAATGTGTGATTTTTTTTTTTACACCAAAGTAATGTACTTAAATAAAAGGTTGGATTTTTCTCTTTTTTTGCATTTGGGTTCTATGTTGTTTTAAAAAAAAGAAGAATTTTTGGAAGTCCTCGACCACATCTTAAAAAGGGGTGCCAATAATTGTGGAGGGCACTGTATATACATATGATATATATATACATACATCTGTGACATTGTGTTGTGACATAACTGTGGCCTTTTATTGTCCCCAGCACAAAGTGCACCTGTGTAATGATCATGCTGTTTAATCAGCTTCTTGATATGCCACAGCTGTCAGGTGGATGGATTATCTTGACAAAGTAGAAATGCTCACTTACAGGATGTAAAGACATTTGTGCACAAACATTTGAGATAAATAAGCTTTTTGTGCATATGGAACATTTCTGGGATCTTTTATTTCATGAAACATGGGACCAAAACTTTACATGTTACGTTTATATTTTTGATCAGTGTCTATATATCTATATCTATATAGATGTAGTAGATGGCATAACGGCTTAGAAGACCTAAACATTTGATCCACCTCCAGGTCTGACAGAATCCACCTGCAGGTCTGACAGAATCCACCTGCAGGTCTGACAGAATCCATCTCCATGTCTGACAGAATCCACCTGCAGGTCTGACAGAATCCACCTGCAGGTCTGACAGAATCCATCTCCAGGTCTGACAGAATCCACCTCCAGGTCTGACAGAATCCACCTGCAGGTCTGACAGAATCCATCTCCAGGTCTGACAGAATCCACCTCCAGGTCTGACAGAATCCACCTGCAGGTCTGACAGAATCCATCTCCAGGTCTGACAGAATCCACCTCCAGGTCTGACAGAATCCACCTGCAGGTCTGACAGAATCCATCTCCAGGTCTGACAGAATCCACCTCCAGGTCTGACAGAATCCACCTCCAGGTCTGACAGAATCCACCTGCAGGTCTGACAGAATGCTCACGTCTCCTGGCACATAAGAAGTCCTGGTGATGTGAAGTCTCCAGTCTTTGAGTGTGACTGTACGTTTGTCTCTGTGTGTGTGTGTGTGTGTGTGTGTGTGTGTGTGTGTGTGTGTGTGTGTGTGTGTGTGTGTGTGTGTGTGTGTATGTCAGTGTGTGTGTGTGTGTGTGTGTGTGTTCACCTGTGTGTTTAAGTGTGTGATCAAGAGGCGGCCAGGGCTTTAACCAGGTAGAGCTTGTCTCCCTGCTCGCTGGTGAAGATGGGAGCCTTCTTGTAGTGTTCCACCAAGTCCTCCAGGGAACTAAACTTCCTCTGGCCAATGCAGTACAGACCATCCTTCAGCTGAACCTTGAAATGCTTGTTCTTCCCCTGGGCCTTCAGAGAGATGGAGAAATCATTGGGCTAGAGAGCGAGAGAGAGAGAGAGAGAGAGAGAGAGCGAGAGAGAGAGAGAGAGAGAGAGAAAGAGAGAGACAGAGAGAGACAGAGACAGACAGAGACAGACAGAGAGACCGAGAGAGAGCGAGACGAGAGAGAGACAAACCGAGAGAGAGAGAGAGAGAGAGAGAGAGAGAGAGAGAGAGAGAGAGAGAGAGAGAGAGAGAGAGACAGAGAGAGAGGAGAGAGAGAGAGAGAGAGACAGAGAGAGAGAGTGACAGAGAGAGAGGGAGAGAGAGAGAGACAGAGACAGAGAGAGAGAGAGAGGGGGAGAGAGGGAGAGAGGGAGAGAGCGAGAGAGAGAGACAGGTCAAGCTGTAAACTGAGCAGACAGTAAATGCAGCCCTATATATCTCATACCAGATTCTACTACTTGTGACTGCAATGTGGCATTTTCATCTAAAAGGACCCATGAGCACCAACAGTTTCAAGTTAATTAGTCATATGTACAGGATACACATGGTATATAATAATAATAATAATAATAATAATAATAATATATATGGTATACAGTGGCTTACGAAAGTATTCACCCCCCTTGGAATTTTTCCTAATTGTTACCTTACAACCTGGAATTAAAATTGATGTTTTTTTTTTTTTAATCATTTGATTTACACAACATGCCTACAATTTTGAAGATGCAAAATATTTTTTCTTGTGAAACAAACAAGAAATAAGACAAAAAAACTGAAAACTTGAGCGTGCATAACTATTCACCCCCCCCCCCCAAAATCAATACTTTGCAGAGCCACCTTTTGTAGCAATTACAGCTGCAAGTCTCTTGGGGTATGTCTCTATAAGCTTGGCACATCTAGCCACTGGGATTTTTCATCCATCATTCCTTCAATTCTGACCAGTTCCCCAGTCCCTGCCGATGAAAAACATCAGAAGAGTGGCCAGAAAAAAGCCATTGCTTAAAGAAAAGAAGCCAACATGTTTGGTGTTCGCCAAAAGGCATGTGGGAGACTCCCCAAACATATGGAAGAAGGTACTCTGGTCAGATGAGACTAAAATTGAGCTTTTTGGCCATCAAGGAAAATGCTATGTCTGGCGCAAACCCAACACCTCTCATTACCCCGAGAACACCCATCCCTACGGTGAAGCATGGTGGTGGCAGCATCATGCTGTGGGGATGTTTGTCAGCGGCAGGGACTGGGAGACTAGTCAGGATCGAGGCAAAAATGAACGGAGCAAAGTACAGAGAGATTCCTGATGAAAACCTGCTCCAGAGCACTCAGGACCTCAAACTGGGGCGAAGGTTCACCTTCCAACAGGACAACGACCCTAAGCAAACAGCCAAGACAACGCGGAAGTGGTTTCGGGACAAGTCTCTGAATGTCCTTGAGTGGCCCAGCCAGAGCCTGGACTTGAACCCGATCCAACATCTCTGGAGAGACCTGAAAATAGCTGTGCAGCAACACTCCCCATCCAACCTGACAGAGCTTGAGAAGATCTGCAGAGAAGAATGGGAGAAACTCCCCGAATACAGGTGTGCCAAGCTTGTAGCGTCATACCCAAGAAGACTCAAGGCTGTAATCACTGCCAAAGGTATTTCAACACAGTACTGAGTAAAGGGTCTGAATACTTGTAAATGTAAATGTCATATTTCAGTTATTTATTTTTTATAAACCTAAAAACAGGGAATTTTTACTATGATTAAATTGTGAAAAACTGAGTTTAAATGTATTTGGCTAAGATATTTGTAAACTTCAACTGTATATGAAGGTCACCACTCACCGATGACTCAGAGTCTCTGATGAGGAAGTCTCCCTCCTCTGCTCTCTGGTTGAGAGCCACCTCTGCCTGATGACGCGTCACCTTGCCATAGTACCACTGCTTCCCCGCAAACCGCCCCACCGTGGCTGGAGAGATGTAGTCACAGTCAGGCGTGGGCGGGCCCGCGGGGCCCGGTGAGGCATTCTGGGTAGTGGAGTCCTGCTGGGGAGGCAGCACAGTGACGTAGTTCTTAGGCACTAGTCCCAGCTGCCCGTCTGCTTTACGACACTTCCACCACTCAGGGTCGTTGTCTGGTTTCTCTACCACCTCCATCACCTCTCCCTTCTCAAAGTTCAGCTCCTCGTCGTTCCCCGAGCTGAAGGGGTACAGCGCCTGCACCGTGTGGAGTACCCGGTTCCCGTTAGACGCACTGTGAATCACTGCTGCTAGCTTCGCCGTCAGCGACCCTACTGGGTCCCCCAAACTTTCACCCCCTCCTCCCCACGCTGTCCCATCTGCGTCCTCCGTTACGTAGTTGGAAGGGAACCACCCGGAACGCCCCTGGTACCCCCCACGCCACCAGCCGTCGCTACACTTCTCCATGACGATGACATGCGTGCCCTTGACCAATGAGAGCTCGTCCTCCCGCTCGGCGGTGTAGCTGAACTTGACGAGCGCCGGCAGGTTGAGGTCGTACAGGCGCTCGCCGTTGTCGGAGTACATGTCGGCGTCGGCGTTGGAGGCAGCGTCACGCGTCCCCGTTTTCCGTTTCACCTTCCCAATGCCTGTCGGGAAACACGAGGAGAGGTTGTCATGGTTACTGAGAGGGTATTCAGACATTTATATTATGGTTTGTTAGGACAGGGAGAGATGCACCATGAAATCTTATAAAGGGTGAAACTTGTGTGTGTGATCATAGGTAATATAATCATAAATAATATATACCATTCAGCAGACACTTTCATCATCATCCTATGTGACTTACAGTTATGCGTGAATCAAACTCTACCAAGGGAGCGACACATGACCACAGTAGTAACCTACTACCATCATCACCAGCAGTGGTGGAAAAAGTACAATTGGGTAAAAGTAAAGATACCTTAATAGAAAACCAAGTAAAAGTGAAAGTCACCCAGTAAAATACTACTTGAGTAAAAGTCTAAAAGTATTTGGTTTTAAATATACTTAAGTATCAAAAGTAAATGTAATTGCTCAAATATACTTAAGTATCAAAAGTAAAAGTATAAATTATTTCAAATGTCTTATATAACACAAACCAGATGGCACGATTTTCTTTCAGTCTAAGACTTGGGTGGCTGGAGTCTGACAATTTTTAGGGCCTTCCTCTGACACTGCCTGGTGTAGAGATGATGCAGCCAGTCAAGATAATCTCAGCACTTGGGGGCGGCCAGTCAGGAAGTCCAGGATCCATTTGCAGAGGGAGATGTTTAGTCCCAGGGTCCTTAGCTTAGTGATGAGCTTGGGAGGGCACTATGGTGTTGAATTCTGAGCTGTAGTCAATGAACAGAATTCTCATATAGGTGTTCCTTTTGTCCAGGTTAGAAAGGGCAGCGTGGAGTGCAACAGAGATTGCGTCATCTGTGGATCTGTTGGGGCGGTTTGTGAAATGGAGTGGGTCCAGGGTGTCTGGGATGATGGTGTTAATGTGAGCCAGAGACTATCATGGTCTGCTTGAAACATGTATGTATTACAGATTGGGTCAGGGAGACGTTGGAAATGTCAGTGAAGACAGATGCCAGCTGGTCAGCGCATGCTCAGAGTACGCGTCCTGGTAAACCGGTCTTGTGAATGTTAACCTGTTTAAAGGTCTTACTCACATCGGCTACGGAGAGCGTGATCACACACTCGTCCGGAACAGCTGGTGCTCTCATGCATGGTTTAGTGTTGCTTGCCTCGAAGCAAGCATAGAAGGCATTTGGCTCGTCTGGTAGGCTCACATCACTGGGCAGCTCGTGGCTGGGTTTCCCTTTGTATTCCGTGATAGTTTGCAAGCCTTGCCACATCCGAAGAGCGTCAGAGCCGGTGTAGCAGGATTCGATCTTGGTCCAGTATTGACGCTTTTCCTGTTTGATGGTTCGACGGTGGGCGTAGCGGGATCCAGCCAACTTGTCTCCTTCCACAGCCCTATTCTCTATATAGTGCACTACTTTAGACCAGAGAATGGCACCCTATTCCCTATATAGTGCACTACTTTAGACCAGAGCCAATAGGTAGTAGGGTGCTATTTGGGCCTCAATCTAGATTACCCCTTCAGGCTGTTGTTGTGCCAGCCAGCCAGCCAGCCAGCCAGCCAGAGTCCCATGGTAGTTTGATGAGCCAGCAGAACTAAGGCCAGGCAGGTAGACCCCATCATTAGACAGCATCAGACTCCACATGGAGAGAGCCACAACACAGTGGGAAGAGAAAAACAACAACAACAACTGTCTCCTCTACCTGTTAGACCCCGTCTCCTCTACCTGTTAGACCCCGTCTCCTCTACCTGTTAGACCCCGTCTCCTCAACCTGTTAGACCCCGTCTCCTCTACCTGTTAGACCCCGTCTCCTCTACCTGTTAGACCCCGTCTCCTCTACCTGTTAGACCCCGTCTCCTCAACCTGTTAGACCCCGTCTCCTCAACCTGTTAGACCCCGTCTCCTCTACCTGTTAGACCCCGTCTCCTCTACCTGTTAGACCCTGTCTCCTCTACCTGTTAGACCCCGTCTCCTCTACCTGTTAGACCCCGTCTCCTCTACCTGTTAGACCCTGTCTCCTCTACCTGTTAGACCCTGTCTCCTCTACCTGTTAGACCCTGTTAACTCACAACTAAAGGTCAAAAGTCAACTCAACACCTCAGTATCTAACTGACTCTAACCCTCTATAAAGGCCTTACTACACTCTTAGAAAAAAAATAAAAGCTTGCTTCATATATGGCACCCTTACATATTCTATATATAACCTCAATGTACCCTGTTTCGTTTCATTGGGGTTCTATGTGGAACCTTTAGGGGACCATACATGGAGAAAGTGATAACCATTTTTGGTTTTTGATATAGAACTACTTTTCTAACACCGAGGTGACAGTAGTGTTATCACACTGGGCATCAAGGGAATTGGCTCTTCCTCCACTATTCAAAACAACCACTTTGCATTAAAACAGCATGGAGGCAGAGACTGATCACTGCGTTTGCCTGGCTAGCTGGTGTCCCACACCAACCCACCCACACCCCCGGTAATATCAGGTAGTTATGGCGGTCAATGGTAGTTTGCATCCTCTGGAGTGACACTGGAGGAAGATAAGAGTTGGTATCTAGGGCATCTTGTGTGCGTGTGGGTGCATGTGTGTCTGTCGTGATTTCAACGTGTCTGAGCTCGTCAGTTCAGGGCTGTGCTGCTAGATAGGACCGGTAGTCAAGTTTCAGCCTGGTTGTCTAAGATGAGAAGCCAGCCTGTCCTGACCTGATCTAAAAGGGTTACATTCATTCAAAGTACCCAACTGATCTCAGGAACCAACAATATCACCAATGTACGGGGCTGTGGCAGGCTTGCGATAGATCAGGAAAATCTTGCACATTGTGCTTGCCAGTATCACTTAAACGTAGCTTACACATCGGCCTCACAGCCTTCGTCAGAGCGACCACTGAGCCAGTCTAAACCACTCCAACATAGACACCATACAGCCTTTTACAGCCACTAGGGCTGATCCCATTTTGCAGACCGGTCCATTGTTTGGTCAATAGGCTGTCGGTCGACCGAGATTTCTTTAGCAGTCGCACACAGAAAAAAAAAAAGTCCTGGTGTACAAGATACCGTTCTGATTGGCACCTGTCCATTGTGGAGGCTGTGGGGATGGCCATCAATAAAGACGTGCTACTGCAATTGTACATGGTTACATTACGTAAGAACAAATGGTGCAACAATAATAAAAATAATACTATTTTATAACAAATGCGCTTTCTCCGGCGTTGGATAGCGGTCCCTTGTCCACGGTTCTGAAACATCAGAGAGCTGTTGAATTGGCGTCTATTCCTAGACCATGTTGCTATGTGCATAATAGCAAAGTTAACCAGCATATTGGAGTTGAGGACAATGTGGCGGAACCAGCAGCAGAGTTAGGAGATGAGAAAACAGCCCTTGCCTTAATTGTCTAAGAAAATTGAGAAAAAACAGAAACCCCAACTTAATTAGGTCTATAATCAATAACCTAACCTTAATTAGGTCTATAATCAATAACCTAACTGTTAAATGGGCCTGGATTTATAAATCATCCACATACAGTAACAGTCAAAAGTTTGGACACACCTACTCATTCCAGAGTTTTTCTTTATGTTTACTATTTTCTACATTGTAGAATAATAGTGAAGACATCAAAACTATGAAATAACACATATGGAATCATGTAGCAACCAAAAAAGTGTCAAATAAATCCAAATATATTTTATATTCTTCAAAGTAGCCACCCTTTGCCTTGACAGCTTTGCACACGCTTGGCATTCTCTCAACCAGCTTCACCTGGAATGCTTTTCCAACAGTCTTGAAGGAGTTCCCACATATGCTGAGCACTTGTTGGCTGCTTTTCCTTCACTCTGCGGTCCGACTCATCCTAAACCATCTCAATTGGGTGGAGGTCGGGGGAATGTGGAGGCCAGGTCATCTGATGCAGCACTCCATCACTCTCCTTCTTGGTAAAATAGCCCTTACACAGCCTGGAGGTGTTGGGTAAATGTCCTGTTTAAAAACAAATGATAGTCCCACTAAGCCCAAACCAGATGGGATGGCATATCGCTGCAGAATGCTGTGGTAGCCATGCTGGTTAAGTGTGCCTTGAATTCTAAATAAATCACAGACAGTGTCACCAGCAAAGCACTCCCACAACATAACACCACCTCAATGCTTTACGGTGGGAAATACATATGCAGAGCTCATCCGTTCACCCACACCGCGTCTCACAAAGCCAAGGCGTTTGGAACCAATAATCTCCAATTTGGACTCCAGACAAAGGACACATTTCCACCGGTCTAATGTCCATTGCTCGTGTTTCTTGGCCCAAGCAGGTCTCTTCTTCTTATTGGTGTCCTTTAGTAGTGGTTTCTTTGCAGCAATTCGACCATGAAGGCCTGATTCACACAGTCCCCTCTGAACAGTTGATGTTGAGATGTGTCTATTACTTGAACTCTGTGAAGCATTTATTTGGGCTTTCTGAGGCTGGTAACTCTAATGAACTTATCCTCTGCAGCAGAGGAAACTCTGGGTCTTCCTTTCCTGTGGCGGTACTCATGAGAGCCAGTTTCCTCATAGCGCTGGATGGTTTTTGCGACTGCACTTGAAGAAACTTTCAAAGTTCTTGAAATGTTCCGTATTGACTGACCTTCATGTCTTAAAGTAATGATGCACTGTCATTTCTCTTTGCTTATTTGAGCTGTTCTTGTCATAATATGCACTTGGTCTTTTACCAAATAGGGCTATCTTCTGTATACCACCCCTACCTTGTCACAACACAACTGATTGGCTCAAACGCATTAAGAAGGAAAGATATTCCACAAATTAACTTTTAAGAAGGCACACCTGTTAATTGATATGCATTCCAGGTGACTATCTCATGAAGCTGGTTGAGAGAATGCCAAGAGTGTGCAAAGCTGTCATCAAGGCAAAGGGTGGCTATTTGAAGAATCTCAAATATATTTTGATTTGTTTAACACTTTTTTGGTTACTACATGATTCCATATGTGTTATTTCATAGTTTTGATGTCTTCACTATTATTTTACAATGTAGAAAATAGTAAAAAAT